TATTTAAAATTAATGTATAATCGTTGCTTTAAATTTATTGTTGACCATTCTTAAACTCACGCAATGCATTCGAAGTCCGTCAGATGGCGCGCGCGTTGCAAAAACTCGTTACTTCTTTAGCGTATAAACACTAATTTTTTATAAAAGTGGCACAAGACCACAGGTTTGACACCCGATTGACAAGTTCAAACCCTGGCTGCGTCAATACTTTTTTAATTTAAATCTACCAATTGGACTATTTCATTCATAGAATTTGACTAATTATAATAATTATAAGTGGCTGCTTTTTTGCTATGACAATTAGCCAAAGATGACTAATAATTAGTTGTTCGACTAACTCATTTTTAGGAGAGTACCTAGTGTATTATTTACACCTTTTAATATTTAGTTGCAAGGACCAATGCAAGTCTATACATTATAATACAAAAACCCATCGTATCTCTGGGTTAAAGTGCACGAAAACATCATTTAGAACTAAGTTCTAAATTAGAAGCTCTCAGAAATAAAACTCGAAAAGAGCGCAGAGTTAGTTTTGTTTATGGAAAGTTCCCACAATTATTGCAACAACTATAGAAACATTAATCTTAAACAATTTTATATAAAATAGATTGTTTATAATAAGTATTGATCAGAATTCAAATGATTAATTAAAATTCAGCTTATGCAAATCAATTATTTTTGGTGAATACTATACGATACCCGCTATACGTTAGTGAAGGAACTTTTTTCCATCTTCTCTTTCGTTTGACCGTGAATTTTAAAATGCATCCGCGTAGATGGTTAAAAAACAACCAGCTTAAAAGTGGTTTCAAGGTTCCCCAAACTCTTCCACCCATACAATACCTGCCTCTCTACCGCTTTTGTTAATTTTGTTTGTGGCGGTTGGTTGTGTTATCTTTGCCCGTCGAAATAAATGTTTTTAAGTTTCTCAACGGGCCCTCCTTAAGCCCTAAAAAACATTTTGTAACGCCAAATAAGAAAACCATAATTTGCTATTTATATTATGTGATTAAAAAAAGGCATTTCTTTAAATTCTTTTGCTATTGGTTTTTATGGCCTATCTAGTATCTACGAGGGCTTATTGATTAGTTCTTAGAATGAGTATGAAAATGCCATGGGCCAAATTAAGTTTTAATTTTCAACATAATCTCTTATTACCTCTATATATAGATGTGTATACATTTACTTCAACGATACTTCGTTATTTCCTCAGAATAGAATATGTGCTCTTTTTCGTCAAAAAAATGCACAGCATTTGAGGCTTATCAGACAACTGATCTGTAAAAAGGAAAAAGTTACAGGAAGAAATGCGGAGGATGCGGTATACTATAGTAATGCAAAATCGTAAAAGCCGATTCACAGTGGATCATCAACTTACTCTAACCATTTAAAAGATTTTTAAGATGAAATTTTGAAGAATTTATTAAATAAACTCATTGAAAAATAATTATGCCAAATGAGTTTAATATATTTTTGTAGTAAATTTAACGCTCTACAAAAAAGGTTTAATCTGTTTAATTGATTACTCTAACCTTTGAGAAGATATCTGTATCCGAATCCCTAGCGTACTGATACGATAATTTAAAAAAGTAATCTCTGTGCAGATCCCGAGTCAAAATTAAGATCGTAATTTAAATCTTAAGTCTGACAATTTCCGTCTTATATTTATATTCGCCTAAAGATAACCAACTTATGACCTAAAACATGGCAGATAAGTCCATTTTCCCGATTTTTCGGTTCTAATTACGTTTAAATTTAAACCAAAAATTTTATTAGAGGTTTAAATCGGTTTAAATAGGTTCAAATTAAGATTAATTCGGTTGTTCTAGTGCTAAATTGGAGTAAACAGACTGAACAGGTTTTAAATCAGTTTTGGTAGGTCAAAGTAGGTTTAAATTACGATTTAAATTTTGACTCGGGATACATCGCTTACTTAACAAGTTAAAATGACAAGCAAGAATAATGTCAAGTTAAAAAATAAGTTAAAGCTAAGATACCTAAATTTATAAAAATTTGAGGTGACGACAAGCTAGAATAAAGACAAACCAAAAACAATAAAAATTATTTTTGTTCATTACTATTAAATATTGTAGAAAAGGCATTTTTGCTTTCATTTTACTGATTAACCCCTATACTTTTAAAATGTTTGTATAAAATAATTAATAATACATAACAAATGCAAATTAACAAAAACAATACTATAAGAATCTATGGCTTAAAACTCTCTAAATTGCCTTGGAAATTCTGCCTCACCAAAGTTTTCTAAGGGGCCAATTTAAATAAGCAATTTCTACATGAACATTAAAAAACACTTGTACACTAAAACGAGCATTAGATCGAGTAAATAGTCTATTTAAAATAGAGCAGTAGGTGGTTTGGTAGGGTTGGGTTGGGTAGGCTGCACGTGGTGATTGCCTGCAAAATGTATCTAGCCTATCTGCACTTTACTTAATCTAATGCTCGTTTGAATCAATCGTTTTAGTGTACAGGTATTTTTATAATGTTTATTGGTACATTTTGTATTTTTTAGGTTTAGTTTTTGCGCAATATAAAGAATTGTAATGCGCATAATTTGTTCAAAGTAATTAAACTAATGCGCGTGGTACAGAATTAATAGTTTACTATGTATCTAGTTATTAATATTGTTCAAGTTAAATGCATATATATATATATATATATATATATATCCATGGTGAAATGACCCTTAAAAACAAACAAATATGCAAAAAGCAACTGCAACACAAAAAGAAAAAGCTTTACAATATTAATAACAATAGATATTTATGAACAAATAAAATTATTTTTTATAAAATTAAGAGTAGAGCACCGGATTGACATCAGCTTAACAAGAGACAGACCCAAATTTAAACTTTCATTAGGTTTTGGTAATCCGTAATTTAAACTCTGGCTTTGTCAAAACTTTTTTAAATTTAAATCTACTAATTTGACTATTTCTTTTAGTAGAATTGGACTAATTATAATTATAATTAAAAACAGTAACCAATAATTATTAGTTACTGTTTTTTCGCTATGACAATTAGTCAAATATGACTTATAATTAGTTATTTTTGACTAATTCATTTTAAGAAGAGTATCCCTTGAAAATGGCTGACTACAGTTTTTCACAGTGAAAGTGAAGAAAATATTTTATGAGCACTTCACGGTGAAGTTTTCACCAGAGATTAAGTTAAATCTGGTTTACTCCTGGCGAAATTAAAAGGTCAGTATATACTATACTATATTCTATAGAATGTTAATATAAATCTTTTAAATATTGACGTTAAGAAACTATTTAATACTTTTGTATTGAGATAATAAAATAATTTTTACATTTAAAATATTTTACAAGATGGGCACCGCCGACGGTGGACTAGTGGTTAGTGCTACTGACTACAAGCCGAGAGGTCGTGGGTTCGAATCCCACCAGGGGTATGGCTTTTTATTTGTGTTTGTCCTATATTAGTCCTTCGGAGGGACTTTAAGCCCGCGGTCCGTTCCTACCCCTAACCCGCTCAAGCCATTCAGTTGGCTTCTGGGACTTCTTAGGAAGTAAGGGTGGAACTAAAAGAGCACTTTTGTATTTAAACGATTTTATGACATTTGACAACTAAATTAAAACTAACTCTAGCCCGTGACTAAAAACCTGTTCCTAACTTCAGCCCGTGACTAAAACGCCATTAATTCACAACTTGTCAATGTTGATTACTTGTAAGATTAAAGTAAGGTTTATTTAAAAGGTCATCTTATTACAAATTACACACAATTTTCTATTTTATTCTCTTGATATTTTTGAGTTTTATAAGGTGATAATTAATAACAAAATAATTGAAATTAATTTATCGGTCAAATTTAAAAAAATGATACGCCACTGTCGATCACCATTTTTGATCTAGATATTTTATTACGATTGCTTATTATAAAACATCACATAGGTAACTTTTTCACCTGCCGTTTCGATTGCTAAAAATGGAACGCGATATAAAATTCGTAATTTATTTTATATTAAAAAAACGTTATTTGGCTTTTTAATGTCAATGTCCATTAAATTTCATTATTTTCATCACGGAAACAGGAAAACGAAACAAATCGTGTTAACATGTCTGCAGTATAGAAAGTGAAAGTCGATTTTATTACATTAAAAATATTATTCGCACATGTACAGTTATAAATTTATTTATTTGTTATTATTATAATAGATACACTTACGTTTTTTAATTGTTGCAATTGATAATTAGAACGATATATCCGGTGATCAAAATAATACATATGGCGTATTGTTTAAATTATTCAAGTAGGTTATGCACTAAAATTTCATAAAAAAAATTGTTTAATAGAGTATATAAAATGTAAATTTATTAAATCTATCATAACACTGCACCAATGCACTGCACTGGAAATAAAAAAAAATCAGCATTTAGGGTGCGTTTTACGAAATATTACAAGAACACTTTACAAGTGAATATAGCAAGAAAATATTGTACATAAAAGTAGCCGTAAGAGATTTTGATGCTTTATTTATATTATTTTGACAATAAGTCCATGGCGTTAATGTTTGAAAATAATATCGTGAAGGTGGCCACCACGCCTCTGGTGGCTGAACTTTCTTACACAAATCGGCTTGGATTTCACAAATAACCACACAAATGTTATGTTTAAAATCCTCAATAGTTCCTGGTCTACGGATGTTAACTTAAGCTAGCCCCAAAGAATAGAAAAGTCTAGCTGTGTTAAATCACAAGAACGATGTGGCCTATTGATATCGCCATTTCTCCAGATAATTCGACCTTAAAAAGTTAGTCCCTGTACATAGAAAAAACTATAGCATGGCATGAATGGGTGAGCCATTAAACCAATGGGATCTTGTAATCCGTATTCCTGAATAACAGTTCCTATAGGATATATATATATATATAATACCAATAGGTAGTTAGTAGTGCTGTCAGTCGGTTCCGGGTACCCGGTTCCGGGTACCCGGAACCGGGTAGAACCGAATTTTTCAGGAACCGTATTACCCGGAACCGGGTATCCGGAACCGAATACCCGGAACCGGGTACTCGGAACCGGGTACCCGGAACCGAATACCCGAAACCGGGTACCCGAAACCGGATACCCGCAACCGAATACCCGAAACCGGGTACCCGGAACCGAATACCCGGAACCGGGTTACTTACCTTACTTACGTTCAAAACAAGGAGGCTGATTTAAAAGTTGGCCTTTTTAAATTTTAAAAACTTGTTTATAATTATTATCGCTGGTTTTTGAAATAAGAAGTATTACCACATAGTTTTTTAAGTATTTTGTTATAACAAGTGTTTGTATACAAAGTAATATAAAATAATACAACAAAACCAACACTATATAAACACTATAGTCACTATAGTATAGTGTTATAAACCTTCCTTAGCTTAATTAGTTTGTTCTATGTTCCTTATGTGGTAGTGTTGTAGTTAGTAGTGTTGTAGTTTGTAGTATTATAGTTAGTAGTTTTCTTAGTTTTGCAATTTTCAAATTTAGTCCTAAATATATGAATTACATCACATCATTACATATTTATTTTAAATCTTTTAGTACCTATTTATTGGGTTCTCGTACTGCAAATTGTAATAAAAAACTTGTGTTTACAAAAGTTTGTGTAATTAATTTAACCTTTTTAAAAATTATACCCGGGTACTCGGAACCGAGTACTCGGAATTAATTACTCGGAACCGGGTACCCGAAATCAATTACCCAGAACCGAATACCCGGAACCGGGTACCCGGAACCGGATACCCGGAACCGGGTTACCCGGTTCCGGGTATTTATAAAAACGGGTACCCGTTTTTCAAAAAAGTCGGTTTTTGACAGCACTAGTAGTTAGCACTTTATGTTTATAATCGTTTATAATCGTTTACTGTTTTTTAATTAACAACAAAAGTTATCGCTCCTAAATCTATTGATATTCATATTGTTATTTATTTGTTAGAATGTTAGAATGTTATTGCATTAAATACTAATTTGATTTATTTAATAACGTTACTATTGTATGTATACTATGTATACATTTAACGCAATAAATTCTTTGACATTTAGGCAAAATATTTCCCTATTTTGTTTTAATAGTAATTAATTGAGCAAATAACAATTAGGATTGCTTCAATTTTAATGCATTCAATGACAGCGCTGTTCTTGGTACTATGTTAGATTTTTTTATGTGTAGCTAAATGGTTTAGCTTCAAAAAGTCGTTTATCATCTTCCTGATGTCTTGAGACCAAAAACCATAGCAGACAGTGATCTTTTTAGTGTGTAATGTATTTTCCACGATTTCTTAAGGATTACTTTCCGACCAAAAGCGACAGTTTTGTTTATTCACATATCTATTCAATCAGAAGTGCATTTTATAGCTAAAGATGATTTTTTTTACAAAATCATGATCGACTAACAAATGCTCTAGGGCCCAATCAGGAAACAAACGGCCCTTCAATTCATACTGATGGCTTGTTCATGTTCCAACTGAATCTTATTCGGGTGCAGTCTTTCTTCAAAATACACCACTGAAATGCCCAGAGAGAACTTTGGTTTAGTGAGAGGTTGTAGTTATCATACACGGCCGATCTTGCACTTCAATGTAGAGGAGTATCTAAAACAGAACAAGCAGTGTTAAATTTTTTATTAAAACGGCGAATAGTAGCTTCAGTGGGTTCAGTTTATGATCACCATAAATTGGACGAAGGGCGCAATTCTACATTTTTCACCAAAATTATAACAATTTCAAGTCGTTGTAGGGATCCATTTTTTAGTTTAGCCTTGTTTACTAAACAAAAATGTCAAAAAATTATAGCAAAATAATTGTAGTATTAAAGAGAGAGTAGATATTACAAGAGAAAAATCTAGTCACACTTGTTTTAATTTATATTGCCATCTTTGTCTTTTAAGGTAAAAAACGATCTTCCTAAAAATACGAATATAACCAATTTGCATTTAATATTTTTTGTCTTAAAATGTGGAAAAAATGTATTTCTTTCTCCACAGTAACTGTCCAACGAGACGAGATTTTAATTTTCTCCACGGTAGTATTTATCATTAATAAGACAATTATACGGTATTTCATTTAATGAAATTCATTATTTTCTTAAAAATTAATTGACACTGACATTTTTCATCAAATCTGCTCAGTAAAAAATTATTTGTTAAATGTTTGTTTATTTTAGATCCACATAACTTTATGTGAAGTTTACAACTAACACTAATCTGTTAAATAATTGAAAAAATAAATTTGTGATTATGGACATAGAATTTTGTTAATAAATCTACAAAATGTCTTTAATAATTATTAAAGACATTTTGTAGATTTATTAACAAAATTCTATGTCCATAATTCAATCATAGTTCTTGTAATTTTCATAAGGGATCTTATTTATACAACCTTTTTGTAGACCCAGTAACAAAAGTACTTTTGGAAATTGGGAACTTAAATGTAAAAAAAATTGTAAACAAAAAAATACCTTAATAAATGAACACAAAATATCAAACACAATTAAATTTGGTACAATCTAACTATTAGTACTACTATAATACTTAATGATGTATTTCGTAAATTTAGCTCACTCCACTAAATGCCCTTTTAAAATAATTACAAACCCTCGTTTTCTACAAAAATTTTATAAAATTAAATTAACAAACTACAAACTCATGTTAACAAATCTGATTTTTATAACAGTGTGTGGTTATGGTAATTACGCAAAATTGTTTTTAATAATTTTTTGGTCTAAATTCTTTAATAAAATTAGAAAAAGTAAAGTGTTTAACTGTTGAAAAATGGCCATTTCATCCCCATGAAAAGTGCTAACTTTCTGAATCGTTAAACAATAAATTATTGTGTCATCTTCTACAATAAAACAACTCTCACTAATTGTATCCTTGTTTGTAATTTACTCAAAAATTATATTAGAAATTATATAATCTTGAACCAATAATCCACTTCCTGTGCTAATGCAAGTAAATTACATAAACCTAGCAATAAAAAATAATCTAGAAGTATAATATTTGCCTAGTTTCGTTTCAGGAAATTATTTAGAAATTATAATAGCAGCACACTTGTTAGTAATACCCTGAACTAAACAGCATGATATTGTTTGTGTATATTTTTTTATGAATTACACAATTACACAATTATATAAAAATTAATTAGTAAATAATTTAAATACATGCTTTTAATTATTTGGCCAATTAACTTTTACTTTTGTATATATCAGGAAATCGTGACGAGTACGAACATCTTCTTTATGTAGGTATTTTTAAATTACATTTAAATATCTCATCACGTTTCCTAATCTTAAAAAAACACTTTTTATTTATATTTGAAAAACTGAAATTCTGAGCACGTTCATAAACATTTTAATATTTAGTGCGCAAACATAAAAATGTCACCTTCATGTCAAGATGTGACATTAGCACCCTTTATCGTATTTATCACCAGATAGTATTTAGACTTATTTAAACAGATGGGCACACTGACTCCTAAGAGCTTTTTCAGGTAAATAAATGAAATCCATTGTTAAAAAAGTTATTGTTTATTTGTTGCAGACAAATAAGTAGGTACACAGTCTTAATATTTTTTTATCGTCATTGTAGAAGTCAAGGGAGTCAAGCCACAAATTAAACATACAGGGTGAATCATAAGGATCGCACCGAACTCTAGGACTGCATTCTAAACATTAAAATAATTATAAAAAACTTAAATGTTCTTATTCCATTCTCATTTGTTTTGAAGTTATAGAGTAAATAAAAATTAAATAAAATTAAACGGTAACATTTGTTTAATAGTTATGACTTTTTATAAGGTGTTCAAAAATACCCCCATTGAGTTCTGCTCTGCTACGTTTGCGAACAGCGCCTGTTGCTTGTCCTATCAACTCTTGTTTTTCTTTAAGAACTGCGCCAGTATTAATTATTCGTTGAATTATTGCCTCTCGATTATTCACTTTAACTATGTAAACTTCTGTTTTAAACCAACCCCATAAACAAAAATCTAGTGGTGTTAGATCTGGACTTCTTGGAGGCCAACTAATTGGACCTCCGCGACCAATCCAACGCTCTTGAAACATTTCATCCAAGTGTTGCTTGACCTCACGAGCGAAATGTGCAGGGGCTCCATCATGCTGATAGTACATTTGCCTTCTTACGTTTAAAAGGACATTATCTAGTAATCCTGGCAACTCATTTATTAAAAAAATAAGGTAGTGTTCCCCTGTGAGGCGATTCTCCATGATAAAAGGGCCAATTAAATACCCAGAAATCATAGCACACCACACATTTACTGAAAACCTGTGCTGAAAATTGGTTTCGACTATAGCATGGGGATTTTCGTCAGATCATACGTGAGAGTTGTGCGTATTATTAATGCCGTCATGGGTAAATGTTGCTTCATCAGTAAAAAGTATACGCGATACAACTCTACGATTCCACACGTTTAGCATAATCTTCCGGGTGTATAAACTGTACTCTTTGTAAATGGTATGGGTATAAGCCTTGCTCATGAAGTGTGTGTATTACTAGTTTTTGTGAAATGTCCAATTGAGTAGCGATTCTTCTGGTGCTGGTCGTTGCATCTTCTTCCACTAGATCAAAAATATTTTCAACTTCTTCTAAAGTTTGTCGATAAGCTTTTTCAGATGTTATTTTAGCGTTACGTTTTTGTGAGGAGCCCTTTCCCGTGGAAAACGTCGCCGATATTCTTCTACAGCAGCTGTGGCATTGCCATTACAAAAGCCATAAACAAAAACCATATTAGCATACTCTAAATTTGAATAAACTTTTGGTATTTTAAAAAAATTTAAACTGGAAAATTACAAAAATACCACTGACGCTGACAGGCCTTTTAAATGTAAGCAATATGTATAATAGGGTGTCCCTTATTTTTATTTTTTTTACTCATACCCTCTAATTATATTTATTACGTATTTATATAGGTACTCCCAGTAAAAATTTCAGCTCATTCTATAAACGGGAACCCATGCCGACTTGCATCTGAACCCTCCGTTAGCCAACGTTAGGCGCGCGGTATTTTGTAACACGGTTGGTCGCGAGGTCTTCGATCGTAAGTCATTTTGTGTTTGTTATTACGTGACCCTTATATTATAAATTATTGACAAATGTTAAAATATAGTTTTATTTATGTGTATACTTTGATAAAAATGTATATTTTCACAGGGAGTGGCTAGTTACCCGGAAGGGTCTGGTGAATAGGCC